ATGAATTATTACTAATTATATATATAATACTTGCGTGGTGCTTATATACTATTAATTTTATAAGAAGTATTATTATTTTTTTAGTCCTCAATTAATGAATAAATCATTTTTCATTTTTTCTTATATTCATAAATCATTCATTGTTTTCCAAATTTTAAGGCATATATAACCACATTTTTGTTGTTATAAATTTGTAATTTATAGGCAGATTAAACATATGCGGTGTTCTTAAGGATACTTTTATATTCTTTTTAAGAATACATCATGTTATGTTTTCATAATTATAATACATAAATTAATCATATAAAAAATATCATAGAGCATATTTTTCGTCTTTTGATTATTAGGGGAATATAATAATATAATCGCTGGAGTATAAATTTATATAATATAATAATTAAATCATTTCCTTCAAAAATATAATATGCTTAAATTTTTCTAGATTATATTATACAATGATAATAAGGAGATGTGTTTTTATAGATATCATTTTAAACAGACATCATTGTGTATTATTCAGCATATATTTATATACTTTATACAGCGTATATAATATATATAAAATGTGATCTTTGTTTAATGTAAAAATAAAATACATATAATCATGAAGCTAAATATTTCCCATTTTATCACGTATATATTGTAAATATAATTACATGTCCTTCGTAATATTAAAAATATCTCTAGTTACATACTTTTCTACAATCGATATTTATATCTTTTAAATATATAGTACATTAATCTTACACAGAATTTATACATTTTAAAAGAACTAATATTTTTAATTAATTATTAACCTTCTTATTGTAAATCATTAAATAAATACCCCAAAATTAATTACGTAAAAAAGATCAAAATATGTAAAACACTACTATAATTGATAATATAAATGGAAATATATTTTTATATTGCTTAATATATATAAAAAATATGTATTTCATAGGTTTCAATTCATGAAAATATATTTATAAGATATTCTATTTAAGAGAAAATGTACTAAATAAATATAAAACGAAATTTTTTTTTTGAAACTTTTCATTATTTCTTCATGTTCATTTTAAGAATGTGTTATTTCTGACATATATAAAAAAATTTCAATATTCTAAAGAATTTTTAATGTTACAAAATATAAGTATTATTTCATCCCAAAATATATATATAATTTATAAAAACACAGTGTAAACATAATATTCTTTATTACAAATATTTACATATATTACAATGATACATATTCCAATTAAATATATAGGTATATATTTGCACAATATATTAATTTTGTACGAATTACTTAATATTAAAAAATATATAAATAATTATTAATGTAATTTCAAAATTTTGGATATAAAAAAAAACAAAATAATATTCACATTTACTAATGAATACAACAATAATATATATGTATATGATAATGAAATGAATTCTGAATTTCTTAATACAAAAATGTAAAGTAAAAGAAAAAATGTAAAATATCTTACATACGTAAATAAATATGAATAGTAAAAATAAAATCTATTAATGTAGACAAACATATAATGTAAATATAACAAAAAAACTAAGCACTAATACTGTATACACTATATTATGAATCCTAAAATCTGAAAAATTTGTATATGTTTTATAATATTATGTTATATTCCTCCTTATCTCCACAATGATTGTTATAATAAAATATACATTCATTTTATTCATATAATTTAAGCGTAAATAATGCAAATTAAGAAAATTTAATTTAATAGTTTTCTGTCCATTTTAATATATTATTATTCAAATTACAAAGTCCTTGAACATAATCCAATTTATTCAAATCATTTATATTCGTAAAATTATATTATATATACTATTTCAATAATAACAATAGAGACTTAAATAAAATGTTTTATACATATATTATATTCAACAGAACATATTATATTTACCCATATTTTTTTCTTATTGAGTATATTATTAATAATATATAACTATTATACTTAATAAAAATATTAATATTATATTTTTTATAAATAATATTTTGTTATTTCAAAGTTACGTATCTGTGTTTTCCTCACTTGACATTAATTATCTAATAAAATACATTACATGTCAAAAGTTCCATATTATTGATTTTAGGATGCATAATAATTAATAATATGATGAGAGAACAACATTAATATATCAAAATTTTATTTAAAATATTTAGGTTACAAACATTTATAATAACGTGCGACCTAATATACACAATTCTATATATATTTACTCATAAGAATAATAATTTTATTTTTATATATAAGCATAACACTATCACTTATGGGTAGAAATATTGTACATTAAAATTATAAAAATGTAAATTACATTATAGTAGCGTATGTATATTCTATAAATTATTTAAAAAATAGCTCAAAAAGACACTATTTTAAATTATAATTATTTTTTTTCTCTGTAGTATGAATTGGTTAAACAATTTTCTACTTGCCAAAATATTATACAAAGGTATGATAATCAGACAAACAAGTATCAAAATGAATGCATGGATTTAAATCAAGAAATTTCACAGTGTATTAAATTAAAAGATGAAAAGATATGCCACAAATCTATGTACTATTTATATGAAATACATAAGATTATTTATACCATAGGACACGCCGGTTGTATATACTTGTATTACTGGTTATATGATTATTGTAATGTAAAATGTTCTAAGACAGAAATAATAGATATTTATAATGAATTAATCCAGAAATATGAAAATATAAATAGCCCTGTATGCACTCGGAACGAGAATATAAATATTACCAAAGATGAGTTTGAAAGGCTAAAAGATATATATAACCTAAATATAAAATATGGAATTAATGAAAATTATCATGAATATTGCAAAGAATTCCACAATATATATGTGAAACGCAAGGGTGAATGTGATTACAATACGCACTCAGACTTTTGTAATGTATTAGAAGAATATTTAAATAAATACAATAAATACCTAGAATCCGAAAATTCCTTAAAACCAAAATATCAAATATTACCCCCTTTCAAAAGATATAATATAAGAGCTTATATAGATGTGACATTA